GTTACCTGTGCACCAGAAAATCTGTGACTGGGCCAAGGTCAGAGACCACAGGGTATTTACACCCACTAAGGATCAGAATAACGAAACCCTAGGATTTAATCCTCTGCCAGAATGTTCAGAGACAGGGGAAAAGCTTTTTCCACAGAATAAGGAATATGGGGGCATAAGTATTTGAGAGCATCTTGTTCTTAAATTTTCTAGAAATGAGCCAGCTAAGCACAGCTCCACTGAGTATCACTGACGAAAGAAATTAAATAAATAAAAAATCCACATTCCCACAATCTCTTGAGGAGCAATGAAGGAAACAAATAGGCTATATGATTATCCATGATACACATTAAGAATTTTTTTCCTTAGAACTTATTTTGGATTAAAATTCACCTTACACTTCAGGTGAAGGGTTTATCTTCAGTACTATAGTTGCTTCCCCCTTTCTACTTTTAGATGACTGTTTCCTCTGCATCTCTGCTGAAAGGATACCATTGATCACAGCAATTTATAAACCTCCCTGACTTTCATGCTATTTCAGAGTGTCTCTTTTTCCTAGGAGAACAGATCTAATAGGTAAAATTCATAGTAGTTACATGCCTAAACAAGTCTGTAAAATACACAGGGGATTAATTTGGTTTAATTTCTTTAGCATTTCAATATACTTCTATTTTATGAGAGTATGAATCATCTCTATTACCCTCTAATGACCTTAGCCTGTGAAACTAAACCAGCCTTCCTACCTTAGGGCTTCACAGTTATAGACTAGTTTCATGAAAAAGAAGACATATTTTAATCAAAATTCTACAAAATATACTAAAGAAATTGCTTTATGATCTCAGCAAGCTTACTTGGTATTTTAGAAAAATTATTGTCTCCGAAAAAATCTAAGCCCTAAAAGCAAATCCCTACCTCCAATTATTATAGCCTGTTTTTCAAGAACAAGAACCAAAAAGACCTTTCCAAAGCATGCATGAAGCTAACAGGCAGGTCATTTCCACACAATTGAATTAATGTATTTTAAACTAATTCAGTTAAAGTTACCTCTAATTAAAGTAGATGGCTTTCAAAGAACCCTTTCCATTTTGATAAATCATCATTCAGTAAATATGTCCTTCTATGGAAACACCTGTATTAACTGCCTTAAATAGGGACCAAAAAAGGTGTATTTATATCTCAAATGGTAAGGAGGCTGTGAAAATTACCAGTACATATAGGATGATTTAAAAGTAGAAAGTTGAAGTGCACTTTTTTATAAATTATTTGAATGACACCCTCAGACTTACAGTACTGAAAGGGGGCCTAGAATAAAAACTTTTTAGTAGGACCTGTTGTGACAGGACAAGAGATGATGGTTTTAGACTGAAGGAGGATTGATTTAGATTAGACATAAGGAAGAGGTTTTTTACAGGAGGTGGTAAAACACTGGCACAGGTTGCCCAGAGTGATGGTGGATGCTGTATGTACTCAAAACATTCCAGGTCAGGTTGCATGGGGCTCTGAGCAACCTGATCTTGTTTCAGGTGTCCCTGCCATTGGCAGGGGGGTTGAACTAAATCACCTCTAAATACCCCTCCCAAGCCAAACCATGTTATGATTCTAGGATTCCAAGTATGGCTGGACCCTTAAGCTATTTTAGCTGGGATACCATGATCCACAGAACTTTTATTTAACTTTCTTAATCTGCATGGGCCATTGATGCTTAAGGAAAGTGAAGGAATGAAGACCAAAATATAAACAAGCAATCAAGTCTTGTTCCTATTTGTAATACAAACAACATTGTTTGTATTACAAACAATGGAAGGGGAAGTTCCACATACTGAATCCTTTGGATTTAAAAGTTTAACAATCAGTTTGCTCTCTCCTCATCTTTTTAGTTTTAATTTAACATTTAGTCTGCTATATTCTGAGTGAGAGGTGGGTTTAATTTTGACATGTTAGAGCAATGCTATTCTTCCACAAGAGCAGCAGAAGCAACAAGCAAGATCTGTCTAAGCAAACGTTGCTTTCCCTTGGAACAGAATTGGATAGGGTTTTCATCTTGAAAACTCAAAGGAGACTCTGCACTTCTACTGCGTAGGGATGGTACCATGTCATTACTGAATCACATCAATTTTAATGAAACTTTTTTACTAGGTCCAGGCAAGAGAGAGACCTCCAACTGCTCCTAAAGAGTTGCTTGCCAGTATTCAGGGAGTGGCACAGGGTGGGAGGAGAGTCAGCTTGAGTTGTTATGGATATGGCAACTGCTTTAATCACCAGGCTATTTGACCCCTCCGAAATTTTCATTTTCTGGTTTCACTCCTGGAAGCCCGCAAACTTAACTGGGTTTCTTTGCTCTGGAAAGAGTCTGTACATGGCCCCAGTGATACAGGACATTTCCTAGGTTAAGAGGCAAGGCAATCCCAGACCTTTTTTGGCTTTATCACAGGAGGTTTGTTCCTTTGTGCTCTCATCCAGCAGTGAGACAAAAATGGTCAAACCCTGACAGCCACAGAGGTCATGCAGGAGATGGGACATCCTTCATCTCAACTCCTCTTACCCTGAAAGAGACAGCACCAGCCATGCCTCTCTTCCTACCCTCCCATGGCACCAAATGCCTTCTCTCCTCTTTCTCTGTCCTACAGAAGCAAATTCACATGCTCATAGACATGCTCTCTCCATGCAGAAAGGGCCAGTGTCCCACTCCTCACCCAGTCTCTCTCACCCTGACCCACAGAAGGACCATGGCAAAAGTCTCCACCATCCCTGCAGAGGCTCTTTCCCCAGGTAGCACCACAGGTGACTCTCCCCACAGAAAGACAGAAGAATGAGCAATGCAACCTGCAGAGGTGGAGTTACGTGATATTTGGAGTTACTCACACCTGCCATTTCAATCCCTTGCTGAAGGCACTCTGCTGCAGGGGGATGAGGAGCCCAAAAGTACAAGTTTCCCTTTGTATAAAGATTACTGTTCAGCACTGACATTTTGCAGCCATCAGATTTTATGTTTAACTGGAAATAACAGCCCCCTGGCAAGCTTCTCTTAAGGTTTTGCAGCCTCCACGGCATTTGGTCAGCGCGTGTACCCACCTGTGTAATGTGTGAATTCAGGAACTGCAGAATGCTCAGAAACAAATTTTTTTCATCTGCTAACCTAAAGACCTTTCCTAAAATGCCTATGAGCTCTGAACGTTTATGCTTTTAGTTTTGTCAGCATAATCACATTACAGCCTGACACCCAAGAGTGTAAATTAATGTCTTCTTTTATTCTTTTATTTTTTTATTTTCCATGCAAATTCCTTAGAAGTATTTTTTTCCCCTCCACATTTTGTATTATTAAGCACAGAAAAAGAGAAAAGGCAAAAACAGATAGGCATTATCCCTGAGTGAATCTTTCTGCAAGCTGATACTTCTGTTTCTAAAGAGATTTAAACCAACACCAAGACCACTTTAGAGGACATGTTCTGCAGAGATGTGTCTTTCCCAGGAACACAAACCTATGTGCATTGCTTAATGGAAATCCCATAGGAGGATTTCTTGGTGTTTTTTAGTGGACGTATGAGTTGAACAGTTCAAATGAAAGCCTGGAAGTGATACTGGCAAGTGCAGATCATTGAGGGAATTATGCTGATGTTGTAGTACTCAAGATATTTACTACTTGATTTATATACTGGGATTTAGTTCTGCATTAAGACCTATATATTCAAAAGGTGAAAAATAAGAATGTGTTTGTCACGGTCCCCCAATGAGTGCATATCCTTAGTGATAGTGGATTCTCTTTTTTTTAAGCTTCACTCAGCACTGGAGATGAGTAGAGCCTACATCTCCTCTCTAGAGCCTTGCATGAATCTGGATGGAAAACTGCAGATAGGGAGATTTCAAGGGACTCTTTCTGCAGATGACCTCTTGTTCTTGAAGAGCTACCAAAGATTACAGGCATGTTAACATTTTTCTCTGTCTCCTCTGCTACATCTTTGTCTCACTTTAAAATGAGCAGCTGAAAGGTTTGTTTTATTTATAACTTGTCTTTTTCTTTAAAAAAAAGTGAAGCAATAACTGCATTTTCTTGATTGCAGATGAATAGGCATGACCTTTCACTGGATAGGACCTGTATGCTAGTCTCATTTTAAACTCATGGGTCACTTTCTGTACCTTAAAACTTCAACCAAACCACTACAGCTTTGTTCAATGAAATGGAGGTTTTAGGAGAGCACTGTCAGAAAATAAATTCCTGCAGATACCCCTCCACAAAATCCTTGCTCATGTAGCTGATAGAAGGAATAAAGTAAGAGCAAGATTTGTTCCTGCCTGAGAACTTTCAGCACTCCTCCCTCAACTGTGTAGAGTCCTTCACATTTGTGATGACTGTGTGAAGGCCAAGGACAAGCAAAACCAGCTATTCTTGCTCAGTTCAGAGCTGTTTGTGTCCAGTACTCCATCTCAGACTCCTCATGGTCAAAAACAGCTCCAGAAACCTGGCTCTGATATGGATGTCTCTGCAGGGCTGACCTGACAGTCTGCATTTTAAGGGCCAAATAAATGGTTTCACCCAATGAATCCCTCTTCCCCTCTGAAGGAGGAAAAGATGCACACACAGAGAAACTGAACTAATTTCTGTATTTCTCAGCAGGGAACTCCCTAAAACACTGCGAGTCGCAACCAAAGAACATAATTTTAACAAATAAAATGGAGGGGTTTTTGGCTTTTAATCTAATCACATTTATTATACCAAACAATAAGCTAGCTCTAGCATTTCAAGGGAGAGCTTAGAAAGACAAAGATGACTCTCACAGTGTGTAAAACCCAGCAGCAGGAGAACACCAGCAAGGCTACGAACATTTAAATAAAGGGGAACTTCTCTATTTGCTTAGTCTGTTCAAGGCAGTAAGGAAACAAACACAGCTCATTAACTAAAATTTCTTAGGAATGGCAGATGCTAGTGAAACCTTGTTAAGATGTTTTAAAAAACAGCTCAAAAGACGTACAGAATACAATACAGCAAACGAGAGCATAAGAAAAAAGCTACTTACAGGACAGCAAAGAGGCTGATGAATACCAGAGACACCCAGAAACAACTGGAAAGTGATCTCAGTGTCTGTCTTCTCAGCTGACTACAGCAAAACACCAAGGGAAAGCTGAACTGCCACCAAGAAGGAAGATAAACTTGCATGCAATTAAAATAAATGAACAGATTACAAATTCACGTACAGGAGAGCATGCCATACAAGTAGACTTCTGGACTTCAGCCTTTTCATTCAGGGCACTTTGGGTACAAAAATAAATCCTTAACAACAGTGTCATTAAAGGAATTCTCCAATCTCTCATAATGAGAGGCAAATTTCTCTGCACCAGCAGTGCTGTTACGTTCACCCCAAAGGTGGCAACTGCTGCCTGGACACCGTGTAAGCAACAAGCCGTGGCTGTTCTGCTATCCAAACAGAGAACACGTAACTGCGGCAAGAAAACTGCTTTCACACTGCTCTAAGATGAATACTACTTTGCCAACACATTTTCAGCAAATGTCTTAAACAGAGTTCATATTTCAGCATCTAAACACGGTGAGTTTCACAGGAGACAAGAAAGCTAGCTGGGAATAACCACATTGCTTGATTTTGGATCAGCCGTCAGTTGATTTGGATGAAGAAACAATCAGCATGCAAGAGGGGGGTCATTTAGTACGGGTTCTTGACAATATACACAATTCTGCCTCCCAAAATGCTAAGTACCTTAATGTTCATGGTTCAGGTATGCCTTCAGCCCCACAGCATGGCCTCAAGAGGGGCCAGCATGAGATACAGAACAAAGCCACTGCTCAAGCTGTACCAGCAGCTCCAGATTCCTGTCTCCACAAAAATAAGCTGCCATCACCTAACTACCAGAACATCAAATTGCCACTGAATAAACCTCTGTGCTTGTAAAAATCAGAACGGCTGCAGCAATTTGAAGCCACACATACCTTGTGTGCCACGTACGTCAGCAGGGCAAAAAAAAAAGGAAAGAAACAATCAGGAAAAAATAACTTCTATCTGGAGGAAATGATTCAATGTTCTGTACCAAGTCAAGGTTGCCTCTAACCAACATTTTTCAAGGGTCAGTCACCTACAAACGGGAGGGCTGGAGGGGAGGTGGGGGTTTATTTACCACTGAATAGGTTTCTTCCAACACAGAAGATCCAAGCTGAATAAAATTTAGCTGCTGTAAAACTAAAGCAATCCCACAGGAGTTATCTTTCTCTAGATGTGCACTGGGGCAACCGAGATAGGGGTCTTACCACAAACTGTTCTCATGGGCTGATTACTTATTTACTACAGGGAAAAAGGAACATTTCAGTGGATGTCAGCGGACACATAAAGTTAGGTAGAAGAAACAGAAAATAATTTGCCTACATACATACTCCTTTTCTGTACAGTGTCATCTCTATTTCAAATATTTAATGTAGGCAAGAAAAGAATATTTTAAAAGCTAACAATTTGTTTAAATGGTTATATTAATTTGTCCTTCAAACAACTTATGTAATAATTTGGGTAAAATATGAAACCACAATAAAGTCCATACCAATGTATTCAACAATTCAGTTCTTGGCTAGTATAACCTTTTCTTCCCCAGATTCTCTCTTGGATGAATATTCTTTTCACTGCACTTTCATGTAGAGAAATAATGAAATCACTTTATGAAACACGGTACAAACTTTGTGAAGGGCTCAGAGAACTCCTGCCTGTTTCACACCTATGAGTCATAAAAATGCTGCTCCAGAAAGTTATTAGAATATTAACAAAGGCCAGAATTTTGAAGTAGATTTGGGTTTATCATAGAGATATTACTGGATTTCAAACTATTTCAAAATAAGTTGTGCTACTTTTCAGCTTCCACCTCAACACTTCTGCCAAAGTAGCTAATACAATAAAGACAGCATAAATTTACAGGAAAACCACAATCTTGCCTGAAGCTTTTAGCACTCTGTAAAATTAGTTTTCTTCTTGCACATATCAGCTATGCCTATTTTATTAGTTTTTCTCAATTAACACCATGCAGAAGAAAATTCAGTGATGTACCTGTCCTTGGCCACTGGTTACAAAATATGCTTCATTTATTTTAATATAGTTGGCAAGGTAAAGCAAGAATGGATTTCTAATTAAGAACCAGGATCTGAAGAGAGTAATGTGAATATTAGGAGACAGAATATGTTATCAGAGTCACACTACCTGTTCTACAGTCACAGAAAGGAGATTTGTGGTCGATACCATGCTGGGGTAGTGCAGTGGCAACAGCACCATTACCTCTTTTCCCAAGCTACTGTCTTCCATTCCATTCTTCCTCCCTTCAGTAAACCATGCCTGGTATTAGCAGGGAAGCATCAAATTGTGAATGTTCTCTCAAGTTCAAATGCTATCTTGTTCCAAATCTGTTGCTCACCTGAATACAAAACCCCATGCTTTTACTACATTATTGGGCAAAATTGTTAGCACAGTCAGTGCTTTGAACCACCTCCTTAGCCCAAGATGCTTTTTTTGCACACATGCCCTTTCAAACCTGACATTTTGTGTATTGATTTTGGCTGCTCTAAATACCTAAGTGCTGAAGAGAAGAAGAAAACACCATGTAGATACAGAAGGTCTGTTGATGGGTTCTCACTATTCTATTTTGAAGAACAAAAGCATATATATTACACATCTTTGCAGCTCTTCAGGGGCTCTACCAGCTGAAGGGTAGATTTTTCTGAACAGTTACTGCAGCTTCCAAAACTGTGACTTAGAAACCAAACTTCCATACTTAGAGGAGTTTGGTAAGTGGCTTGGTGCCAGATAAACTAATGATCTAAGAGCTTCCTAATATGCAGCAGGAGGCTTTAATGAAAGCTTGTCCATTACATATGCAAGGATAGGTTATTTGCTGTTAACTTGGATAAACTTTGTTGGTCTTGCACCAGTGAGTGCATTCAGAATCTCCCAAACAACATTTAAGGATTGTGTAAAGTCCACCCTGGCATGTCATCATTTGTTAAGCTACTTTTTCACTTCCAAGAAATTTATTTTTCAGATAATACTCCTGAGACTCTCACTTGCTTTTTCTACAAAAAAAAGTTCTATTTATTCATTTGTTACCATATGAACGAAGTATTCTGAACTTGAATTTAGTGCATTTGAGAGGCTCAGTTAAGTCTTTTTAAAGACCAACCAAGCTAGCCATCTTGTATGAAATTTTTAAAGAAATCAAAATTAGACCATGAAATATATTATTGGATTGATGTCCAGAATGTTCTTAGGTTTATGAGACATATGTAAAGGCATTTCAGTGTATTTGTAAGATGCATTTATTTTGTATTATTAGGTGTAGACATCCCTACACTGATGCATAGCCATTAAGGTGAGATAAGTAGGGATGGAAAGAAGTTCTTTGAATTTCATTGGATATTAAACTGTTTGGGGTTATCCTAAAACTAATAAACCCACACCTTTGTCTAAAGCAAATAAAGATGGAGTTAAGCCCAGCAAAAGTAGTCATTTGCAAAGTAAAACCTTTTGTGGACTGTCATGATGAAAGCCCACTACTGTTCCTGGAACTGATGGTGCCTTTTTTCTTGTTTCACACACCACAATTCTTCCCAGCATCTGGGAGTGGATTTTCTTTGTTCTTCAGCCAAGAACATGTCTATGTATGACACCTTTTCTTGAGGTAGCAGATCTGCAAAGTACAGAGAAGCCAAACTGCAGAACTAGATACCAAAGTTTCTTCTCCCAAGCTGGATGCTACAGAAAATATCTTCAACCTACAAATTTCATACATGAAGGAAGAGCCACCTGGAACTAACCAAGAGGTAACACCTGGGAGAAGGGCCTGCCTAGGGATGCCACCCATCACAGACCTTTTCCCTGCTCTGGTTTGCCAGGCAGCACCTGCACCTACTCACTGCTGACTGGCATTTGTCAGGCCACCACTTGAAATACAAATAAAAAATATTATTCTTATAACCTAAAGAACCCTGCTTCTGAAATTTATGCAGTGACTATTTCTTACACGAGAGGCCTTGGAACCAGACCAACATTCATAACTTCCACATTTCCAGCTGAGTACTCTAATGACTGTGCTTGTTTTCTCCCCACAAGCCATTAATTCTTACCTGTCCTTTTCTCCAATTAGCTCCTAGCTAAAAACTGGAAGCTAAAAACTGTTGAAAGCAAAGAGCTTTTAGAAAGGGTTAAACCAAACATGAGCAAAACCAGACAAGAGTGGCAAAGCATCTTGTGACATTTGCATGCTTCTTGCAAGTGGAAGTGAATGAGATCAATCACAACACAGACCTACTGATCTGATGACAGGACAGTTGTAATTGCCTCTCTTTTTACATGCTATGTTGACTCACCACACCTAATAGTTTGATTTTTCTGATCTCCCTGGGGGAATGGTTATTAGTATCCCTGCCAATGAGGAGTTACCACACCTATAAAAAAAGTAACAGCATTAAAACAAAGTTGAAGAGTCAGTTTTCAATTGTTTACATTTATTTGCATGTACCAAATTCAAACAGTGATTATTTACACTGGAAAGAATTATTAGGCAGTTTTAATACAACTATACTCAGGAAAAACCCTGTGCCTCTTGCTGGTCTTTGGTGAAGTTTGAGTGTATGATATACATTAGTTTGTGAGGAATACTGGAGTTAGAATTCTGAAAATCCAAAAAGAGGTCAGTGTAAGCTGTTAGACATACACAGTTTTAAAGAGACCACAAACATGTCCAAAATAAGCAGAAGTTATTATTTAAGAAGTTATTATTAAGAAGAAGTTAATATGCAATTATTTTGGACCTTCTGGGCAGAAATTTTTGTGTTGTCTCCCACTGTCACCTCAATCCCCAAAGAATGACAAGCTACACCAAGTTCAAGAGCTGGATCATCACATAGTGAGGCCTGAACTGATGCCAACATATCCTTCATCACACATCACAGAATGCCCCTTGTTTTGTTCCCTTCACCAAACAGAAGGCTGATTTGTCCAAGTTCAGAAAAGCCTTGCTCACATGGCTTTTTTGGAGAGAAGTTCTGAGGTGCATCCCAAGTTATCATTGAATTTGAAGTTAGTGAATTCTTCAACTGCTAAGAAAACAGTGATGACCAATTCTCAAGGTGGCATAACTGGATTAAATGAAGTGAATTTTGATAGGCAAACTTATCATTCCACTTCTCTGTCAACCCAAGGCTCTGTGTTTTCTGGGAAACACTCTTTGCTCTCCTTATTGTAAGCCAATCTAGCAAGTTTCCTCTTCAAAGTAACATGTTTAGGGAAAAAATGTAATACCAAGCATTCAACAGTGGCCAAAAAAAGAAGTGTTCTTCTTATATACTTCAACACAACTTTAGAAACTTCATAGTCATTAATCCACATTAGAAATTTGACTTTGCAATCCCTTCAATTTTAGGAAAGAAAATAAATTCTGGATTTTTCCTAACATTATTTCAGATTTATTATTAAGTGGTCATTTCAGACTACTCATAGGCACACTTTGGATGATGTCTTTGTATCTGCCCATTCTATATGAATTCTGACTCTGCTGCTGAAGAAAAGTGTGAGCTTTCTGAGCTTTTCTAAAAGTTAGCTGAGGAGAAGGGAACAAATAATATAATTAGGAACAGTACAAAGTAATTCACTTTTATTCAGTTTAGTCTTCTAAAAAACAGTTCTGCATATAAAAATGAATTAGGGTCACTGCTTCTGGGACAACTAAAAAAAAAAACTATTTAAATCAAAGCAAGGCATCCAGCTTGACTTTTTGCTGAATATTTTCTGAACAGATGGGGTGCATGAGACATGAAGAAAGGTCTGGGAGGAAGCAGACTCTAGTGGCTTCTCAGAGGCCACAATCCACTGATGCTTGCTTCAGAATTTCACCACCGATAAATTTAGGAATATACTAAAATGTCTGTATCCTGAAAAAAATAAAAAGAAGAATCAACTCTTTCATGGTGAAAAACAAGTTAACAAAACAA